CCGATTGACTCCAGTTGTTGTACAAGCACTCTGTGTGGTGAGGTGCCAATAAAACATTTACATTGGCTCTGGATGTTCGTGGTAGTGAGGTGTAGGGGAGCTCTGGGTTGGTGTGGAGCAGGAGGACATCAGCTCTCTCTGACCTGTCCCCTCACACATGGGGAGACCCACCCGTGTTCTGGCCTGGCTGTAGGTACAGGTAAGGCGAGGGGTTTGCTCTGTCAGCACTGGGAATCCTTGGGTGATACAGAGTTACTGGGTTTGACTTTCTGAGCAGAAATCTCTGTGTGCTGTAAGATTGATCAGCTCTTCCTTCAGGGCACCTCTGGCTACTTTTCACAGCACAGTTCAGGGGGTGACTGGCATGGATTTGATTTTATTGCTGTATCCCAGGTGATGGGCATTCTGCATGATGAGTCACTTCATTACCTAAAGTAATTTGCCTGTTTATTGCCTGGTTCCATCTTTCTTGTGAACCCAACTCTTCCTCAGTGCTTTCTGGGCCTGTTTTGCTACATCAGCCGAGTGCTGAGCTGGTGACCAGCTTGCTTACTGGGCTGGATTTTATGTTCCCTGCATAAAATCCTGCTGGAGCCCAGCTTGCTGGCCAGGCAGAACTTCTCCTACTCTTTAATGGTCACTGGCTTGTTTATGGCTGGATGAATGCACAAAGAGAAGCATTTCTGTAAAACAAACAGCATTGTGATTGTACAGCGAGAGGGAAAAGGGGTTGATTTTCTTTGGCTCAGATGGGGGCTGCCTTTATGGCTTTGCAGAATTCACCCCCGTGGCTGTTCCTCCTTGTGTGACTCTGGCAGTGGAGGTGATCTCAGCCCCAAGTTTTCATGTAGGGCCTGGTTCTCTTGATGAGGAAATTTGACTTAATCAGTTTCAGCTGCTGGAAACCCACTGGTGTGCTGGCTCCTATTGTGCTGTGGGAAGGTGTAAGGTAGCCTTAAAGACCCACTGCCACCTTATGGCAGTTGCTGAGAAGCAGCGTCTGTGGAGCCAATTCTGTACACACATCATGCTCGCTCTATTTCTCTGCTCCTCTTAACCAGGGGTATTTGCATGGAGGCAGGAGCTTTGTTTTTACAGAGTTCATCTGCTCCTTCTGTTCCTTGCAGAAATTGGATAAATTCAGCAGGATGGCTGGGAGAGCCGTCAATAGGCGCTGTTCCACAGGAGCTCATGATCTGGGGAGAGACACAAAGGCTTCGTGGAGCAGATTCTCCTCCAGTGAAGAGCTTGCTTATTTTCATGTCAGTGCCTTAATCCTTAAAAAAAATAGGTGTGAGGTCAAAGAACAGGGCCACGCTGAACACGTGAGGCGTGTTGGCAGGATCTCCAGCGCTTGTTGCAGCAGGAGGAGGATGGAATGTGCACAGCCATTTTCCCACCCTGCTGCTGGCAGGGCACTGCAGGATGGCTTTGCACTGCCACTGTCCCCAAATAAACCAATAAAACATTGGTCTGTGGAGCAGTGAGTGTGCTGGAAGCACGAGCCTGCTTTGCTGTGCTGGGGGTAGAGAATGCTAGATTTAGGAGCCTTCTCCAGCAAGGCTGTGTTTGTACTGTAGGAGCTCTTGATATGCCATAGCTGAATGAAGGGGAGAAATGGTGGATTTAGAACTCCAAAATAGAAGGAGCTGTGGTTACTGTAAGTTAAAGCTGAAGGAATTTATAATTGGGAACTGCTAGGAATACAGTATGTTCTAAATTACAGCTGTCTGGCCAATATGCTGCTAAATAAAGTTCTAGGATTGCCCTGTAAATGAAATATTCAACGCATATTCTTATCAAAACATAGCACGATCTCCCAGAGAGCTCACATCTCAATTGCTGTCCAAGAGGATCTTTATTATGTTCCTTTTTTTTTTCCTTTTTAGCGTGTATGATTTACTCAGTGCAGCATCCCAGGGAACATTTCTGGTTTCCTATTAAGTAAAAACAGTTTTCAACTCTACTGGGGAAAAGGGGAGAGGAAGGGAAATGGCTTGGAAGCTTTAGGGACATAAAACCAGGTTTTGAAAGATGGGGAAAGCTGTGATTCTAAAAGATACATTAATGACTGCCTGTTCTTTCAAAGCTGTTACCTGAGCCTAGAGGTGGACATTGGAGGGTGCTGGGGATACCCAGTATGTCCTGGGACTTTTGGATTAAGAAATGTTGTATATAACAGTTGAAGAGCAGAAGGAATGTTTGAATAGCTTGTGGTGGAGCTGGAGAATGGTTTATAGCAGTGCAGAAACAATCAGGATTCCAGCAGAAATGCTCATCTCATACCCAAAGTCCCTTCAGCTTTTGGGATTGCTTCTGAGGAGGCTGAAAGGGAGCATCAGATTTGATCAGCTGGAGAGTCTGCAAGAAGAGAAGCCTGATGGAAGAAAGGAAATAAGGAAAACCCTCTGTATTTTGCAGAGCTAAATATTGTTCTTCCTATAAAAAGAAAAACCTCCCTTTGCCTCCCACTTGGGCTTCCCCTGCAAGGGAGCTGTGAAAATGCTGGACTTAATGGTGTCATTAAGCAAGAGCCCTGAGGAACCTGGTGTCCTTTGTGAAGGGAGGTGTTTGTGCTGCTGCCTTCCTCCTGAAAATGTGGGATTTTTGAAAGGGGTGTTTGAGCCTTCTGTCAGAGAAGGGAGGCTGAAGAGCTGTGGAGTGAAAATACCCTCTAATCCGTGGGCCCTGGCAGGAATGTTTGGAAAGGGGGGTGTCGCTGTGCTGGGAAGGCTGTTGGAGGCACTTGGGTTAAATAAAGGGCACAGCATCTCGGGGCACAGGCCTGTTCTCATCCTCCATCATCAGCAAAACCTCTTCCTCAGCCAGCCTGGAAAGAGGAGTGTGACTGCTGGTGTGCAGCACCTGACCCCTGCCAAGGGGGGACAGGGGGGTCCTGGGCAGGAGACACCTCTCCCCCTGACAATGGCTGTGCCCTGCAAGCTTCTTGCTCCTTTTAGGTGACAGAAATGTGAGGTTTCACTGAGTGACACCCAGGCATCCCCCGTGGCAGAGATGCTGCTACGGCACCGATCGATCGCTTTACTCAAGTTGGTTGTTGAAGCATCTGCAGTGCCCTGATGAGCTCTGCTTTCTCCTTTTTGTTTCTAAACAGTGTTTAGTGCTTTCAAGGATGGCCATGAGATGCGAAAAGTGTCTCTGGTAGCATCTGCTCTCAGTGTATATTTAACCTCAGCAGTGAAAACATGTCTGGTGTGGAGATGCAGTGGGGAGGCTGCGGCTGTGCCGCCGTTCTCGGGCGTTATTTTATCTGAGAAAGGGAATTTTGACTGTGGTGGATCATTGACACTGCCTTTGTTAATATCTTAGTTTCTATTTCTGGGCTTTTAATGAAAGCGTGGTAATTTCATGCTGCAAGGAAGGGCAGCACATCAACTGTTTTAAAGCCATCTTTGGTTTGAAGTACAGTAATCTTTTGATGCGGTGGATAATGCAACTTCTGTCTGCATAGCTGGGGTTTGTTGCTTTTGTTTGGGGATTTTTGAATTTGTCTTTAAATGAGTTACCTCTACACCTCTCAGCGACTGAGAGAAAGGCCAGGAAAATCTCATTTTGTGTATATTAAAACTTAAGACTCACGTTGTATGAAAACCTGGTGGGTGAAAGAGTGATCTTTTCTTTATACTGTCACCTCAAATACTCCTTGCCTATGAATTTCAATCATCTCGATTTAGCCTTGTGTGTTTTAACTGTTTAGTAGTGAAACTTCTCCAGAGTGTGGAGAAGAAAACAACATCCTCATAGCCAAGGGAGATCTGTAGCAGCTCTTTGCTCTTTAATTATTGCAGCTCAGCAAATGTGCCTGGCCACAGTGGTGAAAGAGCTGCTGGGACTGGAGGAAACGTGGCTTGTGGATGTTTCCAGCCCGGCAGAGCTGGCCATGGCTTTGTGCTGTGCTGAGGCCTGGACTCGCCTGGTGCTTGGACAGGGCACACATCATCCCCAGGCTCCTCCAAACCTCCCTACGGATTTGGATGGCTTGTTCCTCCCTGCAGTGGAGGCTGCTCCCTGCCCTCCCAGCTCACTGTCACACATTACACTCCGCTCCTCCTCACTGTAGTTTCTACTCTTAAAAGAGAACTCTCTCTTTAGGAGGACGCTCTCCGTGCTCTCCTCTTTTGGAAAGCTGTTTTTCCTTTGGCCAAGAGCACGCGCGTGGTGCCACGGGGCCATGTCGGAGTTTCCTCTTCCTTCTGGCCTCTTCCCCGAGGTTGCTGGCCGCCCTCCCCCTGCTCGGGGGGAGGTTCTCCAGCCTGACACCCGGCTCCAGCGGCCTCCTGCTCCTGCCTCCAATAAATGCCAGTCTTCCTTGAATCCCTTCCAGCCGAGCTCTGCTTACAGATGTTCCTGCGAGCTGCTCTGGCAGTTTTACTGGGAGCCTGAGCAGATATGAAGGTTGCCAAGAGTTTATGCTTAATTGTGAAGTGGAACAGAGACAAACTACTTTTATTTTGAAGCTAAAATTTCTTCTGTTATCTTGCTGGCTGGGGCCAGCAGTATTGTAGGGTTTGACATAGACTGAGCTTAGAGCTCCTGTGCCTTGTAGTGAACTATCCCTTCATTAGGGTGAGGATGAGGATGGATCCATGAGGATGTCCCTTCATTCCATTCCCCCCCTGCTTTTCCATGACTGTGTTTGTGATACCCTTTCAAAGTCAGTTGTACCAGGTCAGGTTATTAATCCCCAAAGTGAAAATGATCTCCCCTTCAAATCAGCAGTTCGGATCTCGAAGACGCTGTCTTGGACACTGCTCCCTGCATCAGTTTAACCCATGTGCCTTCATCCCAGCTCTCAGAGGTCGGGGACTTCATTAAGCACAACAAAATCAGCCCGGGGACATCCCCAAGCCACTCACATCCCTCCCTGTCCCTCCTGCCTCTCCTTTTCCCACGGGCAAGTGCTACTCTTGAAGGCCACGAGACAGCACTGTGGTTTAAAAAGCTTTCTCTTTTTTTCAGGCGAGTGATCAGTTTTGAGGCCTGGCGCCCTGTCAGAAAGTTGACAGATGATCTGCATTACCGGTGCGTCCCCGGGATGCCCGGGATAATCGCGCTCCAATGGACGCCCTGGAGCCGGCAGGTTCTCTGTGAAATGGCTGCAGTGGAGGGAGCAGTGAAATGGGCTCTTCTGGGCATGCTCACTCTGTAGAGGGAGCTTTATCACATGAGCAGAAACTGAATCACTGCTCATGAGGATCTGGAATATGCAACTCTTGGAGTCTTCACCAGAAGAAGACAACAGCTGCCCGCAGGTACCGCAGGGTCCGTCCACCTCCCGTGCCTGGCGAGGCCCTGGCAGGGCAGGGCTGCGTCCTGCTGGGGAAGGAGAAGCCTTGGAGAGGAGAGGAGGAGCAGAGGCCGGGGAAGCATGGCCGGGGTTGTTTGTTCATTTGTTTGGATATTCCTGCGCGCGGCTGCCCGGTGCGGGCGGGCTGGCATGGCCCATCCTGCTGGCACGGCCCATCCTGCTGGGATGGCTCTTCCATGGGCTCCGAGGGGCCTCGGCGCCCGGCAGCGCCGCCGGCAAACCTCGGGCTTTGTTTCCTTGTGCCTTTCGTTTGTCTCCTGGGGTGGGGAAGCTCGCTTGGCGTTGGTTTGGTTTTGTTTTTGGTTTTTTTTTTTTGGTGTTTTTAGGATTTGTTTGTGCTTTTTAAGTGTGAAGGTTCTGGAAAATTCTCCAAGGAGCCCTCCCCGCTTTTAGCTGTTAGAAGAAAAAGGCACAAAGCCTGGGGTGCCCGAGCTGCTTGAAGACTGAACTTCTAAAGGGGAGGAGAGGGCCTGTGGCCACATGGCACCTCCTCACTGGGTCTCTTTTGACAGCCTCTGCCTATGGCTCACTGGGGTGGAGGCCAGAGCCAACAGTATTTTACCAGGAAGAAGCAATCCTTTCGCTTCCTCCCTTCTCTCTCTTTTTTTTTTAAATTTTTTTTCATAGTAGCAATCCAAGGAAACATCTGATGAAAAGGAAACATCCGTGGTTGACTTCATGGCAGGAGGTCTATGCCTGCAACATATTTTAAAACAGCCCCCTGGTTCTGCCCTTGGGATTTTTTTTTTTCTCTGTGCTTTGTGTTACATGCAAGAACTGTTGGCTGCCACAGACCTCGGTGAGATTTGGGATGGACACAGAAGGTCCCAGGCCCCTGAAAGGCACGAACAGCCCCGCAGAGCACTGGCCTGAGCTTGCTGTGCTCCAGGGAGACCCTCGAATCTGCAATGCAGACAAAATATTGAATTTTCAATCAAGGAGCAAGATATGAAGATGGCATTTAAAAGATCAGGGAGTTTACACGGGACAATCTGTGTTACCTAATATAAATATCTGTCATGTCTCCACTGGACTATAAATGTGCTCGTTGTTCATCATCCAGAAGAAAAGGAAAGGCATCAGAAGTCACGAGGAGAGAGCTGAGATTTCTCTTTAACAGTGAAGAGCTGAGGCCTTGACCTGCTGCCTGAGCAGCTCCACTCAGGGAGAAAATGGGCTTTGGGCTTGATGAAGGCTGAGGAGACAACCAAAACCCCACTGAGGTGTGGGAGGTGTGCTCCTGCGTGGTGGTGACACCAGCGTGGCTCTGGCTGAAAGTGCCCAACGCTCTGTCCCTGCCGGCTGGGGCCCTTGGGAAGCGTCTGCAGAGACGCAGAAAAGCCTGACCTACTTTGGAGGGAAGAGAGCCGCCGAGGTCTGGGCTTGGCACTGCTTCTCAGCAAGGGTTAAGAGCCCAAAGTGGGGCCTTTGGGTCTTGGTTTTGTTCTGTTTCATGTATTTAACTGACTGTGTGGTGCCAGCACGAGCTCGTGCCCTCGTCCCAGGACATGTTTGGGTAGGAGTAGGCTCTGTGGCACATATGAGGCATATTCCTGCAGCTCAGCCTCTGTGAGACCAGCCCTGGGCAGGGGGCAGAGGCAGCTCCATGACCTGGCTCCTGGGAGCTCTCCCATGTGATGCCATCTCCTAAGGAAAGAGAGTTATGTGCACCTCATGCAATGGCAGTGAGTTGTTTTATTCAGGTAAACAAGGAGTTTTAAGGAGCTTCGCTCTCCTGGCCAGCTGGTTTGGGGGAGGGCTGGCTTAGTTCCTGCTGCTCCTCTTTGTTTTCCTTTTGCTGCTTTTCCCTGAAGTTTTTCCTTCTCGCCTTCCTGCTCCTGAAGCTGAGAGTGGTCGAGGAATGGCTGCAGCAGGAGAGTGACCGTGTGTTGGGGTCAGCCCAAAAGCTCAGGGCACTGATGGCGTGTGCTCCCTGCTTGCAAGCCTTGGAGGACCATATGTTCCTGCAGTGACATGGAATGTCAGTGATTTGGAAACAAATCCCTGATTTTACAATCCTCAACTCCCATTTTCAGCCAGTTATTTTTTCTGACTCCTCCAAACACCAACTCCCTCTTTGCAGACCCTTATGGCCTCTCATGTTTCCAGTGGGATTTGTCCCTCTCGTGCCCCTGTGAGCTCCTTGGCCTCTTGGGTGGAGGATATGTGTCTGGCTTTGCTGTAGGGTGGTGTTGGTCCTGGAGGGGGGCAGAGGAGGAGGGCAGCCTGCCAGGATTTACAGTAGTCAGGAAAGCAGCAGGAGCGAAGCTCTCAAACTGTACAAGCTAATTGGAAAGCATCCATTAGAAAAAAGAAAAGGAAAATATAAAAGGGGAGAAAATGTTGAGCAAGCTTTTAAAAAATATCCTGGACTCCAACACAACAACTTGCATCCTCCAAAACAGGTGATTTAAATATGTTTTTCCTTCAGTCCCCATCAGGAGGGGGAAGGAGGTGAGAAGGGTCGAGGCAGCGGGGGTTAAGAAGGTCTGACGTGCAAGTGTCCTCCCTGCAACACTGCCATACTGTGCCTGAGCAGCATAGTGGCTCTTGCAAAGGAAGCTTTTCACAACTTGTCCTTGTTCCAAGGATGAGGAAACCTCCAGCTCTTCTGGCATTTTCTCTCTGTCATAAGTCAGAGCTGCTTTCACCTGTGAAGTATGATCAGCACAGACAGGGAGAGGGCTGGAATGGAGCGGGGCTCTGAGCAACCTTACAAGGCTTTTCATGGAGTTCTTGGTGTTAAATGAAGAACATTTCCCCTCCTCCTCTCCTCGTTTTCCTGTGTGCCTGCAAAAATACTCTGGTTTGCATTTAAAGGAGAAAACTCTATGTGCTGGGACTAAGCCAACTTGTTTATTTAAGGGAAATACCGTATTTCCAACCCCTTCTCTCACAGAGGAAGGCTCAGCAGAGGATGGCAGACTAGGCTGGGGATTATATTTTTAGGTGTCATCGAAGCACAGTTGTGATTTGAAGAAGCTAAAAATCATGGCTGGCATTTTGCATTGAGCCCTGCGAGTTCCTCCTCCCTACAGCCCCCACCAGGGGTTAACCTCACCCTCCAAAGCAGGTGGATTTTCACCTAAATCAAGGAGCAAAAAAGGAGAAAAAAGAAACAAAAACCATCAGAAAAAACAACAAACCCATCCCCATCACCCCCCAGGCTTCTATATTTCCATGCTTTCGCCGTTTGCCTGCCCCCAGGGGGGTGTTGGTGGCGGGGGCCGGGGCTCGGGGCAGGGACACGGGCCCTGTGTCCCTGTCAAAAGATGGCAGGTCCGTGTGTCCGTAAACAATGCGGTTATGAAATGGCAGCGCGGCCGCGCTGAGCATGCTCGGGAGCTGCCTGTAGGGGGAGGCGAGCCAGAAAGATGATCTAATTCCGTGCAATTCTTGGGATTGAAGGAAAAGACCAGGCTCCACTCTTAATGACAGAGCAGAAAAACCAGGCCCCACGCCGGGGACGAAGCCCGTAGGCCATGGAGGAGAGGGTGTGAGGATCTCCCACCTCCAGGACTTCGGGTGCTGGGCAGCGCTGTGTCGCTTTCTCGCCCTCCAGCAGAGTAAGGCCTTGGTGAGGTTTTGCTGTAGTTATTAGAGGGACAGGCCCGAGGGTGCAAGTTTTATGATTATGATTATTTTCATTATTATTTTGTATTTTTTTCTCCCCCCTTCTCCCCATCCGCTTTCCCGGCTCACAGGCGCCGCTGTCTCGCTGCTTGGCCGCTCGATGGCCGGAGGTGGTGTGGGCAGCTCAGCCAGGTCCTCGTGGTCCCACAGGAACCCACGAGGGGCTTTCCCTCCTCTGCTGCTCCATGTGCCCTTTGACTGGGCACCATGGGGATAGCCAGGGCTACAGGAACTTGTTCTGCTGGCTGCGGTGCTTTGGGGTGGGAGGAAGAGGAGCACAGAGGCTGAAGAGGTACCTGAGCCCCTTTGATGGGGGTGAGCTGCCTCCCAGCTCCCCTGCCCTGGACTGCTGGAATCTGCTTGCTCCAGGCTCCTCTTGGTGCTCTGGTTTTGTCCTGGCTTGGCCAGTTCCTGGGGACTGGGTGTTTCTGAAATGGCTGGTTTGCTTTTGCTAGAGATAGTGATGAATCTTGATCTCCATTTTAGGGTTTTCTGCCCCCCCTTCCCCTCCCGGGGGCTAGGAGAAGGCAGGCAGCAGCTGGACTCCTTGCTACCCTCAGCTTGTGGAAGGAGGGGACGCCTTTGTCTGCTCTGGATTTACATTTGCCTGCACACAAGAGTTGCACTGGCTTTTACTCTACTGGGATGCAGCTAGATGGGCCTGGAAGCAGTGAGGAAGTGTAAATCGATCTCCCCTTTCCAAGAGGGCACGGGCTCTGCAGACCCCCCTTGCCTGAAGCCTGCATGCCGTCGTGGAATGCCTTGTCTTGGGACAAGTCACTTTAAGTCCTGTTGTGTTTCATGCACGTGTCTCTGTGTTCCCAGCTGTTGCATGCAGGGACTTGCACCTCTTTCTGTGCTCCCCCCCTTCTTGGGGAGTCGACGATGTGTGTGGCTGGAATAGGAAAGAGGACATGGGGGTTGAGAAGGAAATGTTTCTTTTCTGTGGAGAATAGTCTGGATGAAAGGATTTCAGGAGACAAAAGAATTGCAAAGAATTTGATTTGGGAGCAAACTTCAGGCTGAGGGCAGTGCTTGTGAGCTGGAGATAAAATTCCACGTTCACATGATTGCATGAGGCTTATAAGGAAGTGGCCTTAGCCTGAAAAGAAGGAGCTTTGAGACTGGTGACTGCTTTGTAGGCCAGGTATGCTGGTGGTTGTGTTTCCTTCCTTCTCCAGATCAAATGCTTCTGTTGTTTCTAATGACAGGCCCGTGGTCAGCGTCCCCACGAGCCTTGAGCCCAGGCCTTGCCCAAGCACAGTGCTGAGATCTGAAATGAGCAGCCTCCCCGTGCCTACAAAAGAAACACTCTTTCTACGAACATTCTCTTAATCATTACTTCCTATATAATTAACTACAAAATGTTTATCTTCTCTTTAAGGCAAAGGTTATTATGAGCAGGCTGGTTTGGGTTGCGTTATTTCAATATATATCTTTTTTTAGGAGAAGGAGGGAAAAAATGAGTGAATAAGATTCTGCTGCTGTTGAGGTTGCATCATTTGTTGAGAGATTTGACTCTGCCTTGCTCCGGCATTGTGCAGCCCTCATTTTGCTGGCTGGTGGGAGCTTTCCCTGGGGCTGTGTCCTGACTGGGGTCTGGTGTCACCTCAGAGGGGTTGGAGGCTGGATCCTGGCAGGGTCAGTGCTGTCCATCCCACAGAGGTGTTGGTGCATCCGCTGCCCCGGATGGGAACAGGCACTTTGAGGGGTCTCCTGCTCCCAGCCCTCTTCCAGATGGACCCGCTGTGCGTGCACAGCTCTGCTCACAGTAACGCTGCTGCGAGCCTCGGGTTCCCAGACCGTTGATTTTTAAGACATAAAAAAAAAAGAAAAAAAAAAAAAAAGACCCTGGTGAAGGTAGACATCTTGGCACCTCAGCCTGCGCTCCTTCCCGGGCTGCCGGGAGAGCAGGGAGCTCGGGCTCATGATGTAACTCTGGTCCCTTGGGCTCGGTAAGCTGCAATATGTTGGAGTTTTGCTGTGCATGTGTTGTCTTTGCATATAAAACCTGTTTGGACCTTTGCGAAGGGCACCCGGATGGCTGATGAAAATACCAAGGAGAGGAGGCTGTGAAAGCTCTTTCTGTGTTTCCCAGCTTTGTTCTTTTTCTCTTCTTTATTTCCCCATTTTTTTTTTTTTATGGGCTTATTTTTTCCTTTTAGGTTTCTTTTTTTGTTTTGTTTGTTTGATTGTTTTAAAGGCACCACTGTAATTTGTAGTCATCATCTGTTTGGAAATGCTGCAGAGCCTTTCCTTGGCCGGTCTGACCTGTCTTCCATCCCCTCCAAAGACCTCATGGAGGAGAGGAAGCTTGTTTTCTTGTAAACAGAGGCAGAGAGGAAAAACCTAAACCAGCAGTAGCTCCTCTGCTTGGCTCCTCATGGCTCTTAAAACCCTTTCAAAGACCCAATCAGTCTTTCTTCATATGCACTAATTTTTTCTACCCTTTGAAACCTAAAAATTAAGGGTTGGGGCGGGGGGGCAAGAATGCTTCGTGGCTGGTTGTGTGTGCTCTTTATGGAGGTTCTCCAGCCACGGATGGTTAATAATCAGTCTGGGGTGGGCGAGGGAATGGAGGCAGACGGCTGCGGGAAAGGGGGAAAGGAGGAAAAAAAAGAAATGGAGCGAGTGAGACTTTTATTGTGAAGCAGCGTGTGCTTGGCAGTTGGCTTTGTTGGGACTGCTGCAAGAGCAGACATTTCTCGGCGGGGAGGGTGGGTATAGGATTTCCCTGCCAATCGGGAGCGGACGGATGGGGCATGGGGAGGGTGAGCAGAAAGGGAAGTTTGCTCTGGATTTAAGGGAGGGGAGGGCAAAAAAACCCAACACACACACACACACATACACGCACACACAAAAGCTGGAGGTATTGACACTTGCGGTGAAGTTGGTGCTAAGTTGGCTGGGTGGAGCTGGGTGGGAATGAATGGTGCTGGGTGCCCCATGGGTGCCCCTCGGTGCTGGGTGCTGATGGAGCAAGGATGGGAGAGTGCTGGCCTGGGGGGGATGAGGCTTCGAGAGCTTTGCAGGGATTTCCTATAGCTTCCTTCTTCAAAATTCACAGTTGACTTTTATTTTTAATTATTCCTTTATTCTCTACCTTGATGCCGAGTTTTTGTTGGGAAGTTGGAATGTTGTCGCCTTGGTAGTGTGGGGTTTGTCTCTGAGGAAGGAAGCAGGAGAGCCTCGGAGATGCCACCTCAGCCAGCCTCGCCTTGGCACCCAGCTTTTGTACTCTCAAAGGACAACAGTGATGGTTTCTTCTCTTGGAGTTGGGAATTCTGCTTTGAGAACTGGGCAGGCAGCTCTGAGCTGCTGGTGACTGCAGCGAGCAGGGAGGGTGGTCAAGGTCTCATTGATTCCAGGGCTCCTGCACTGCCTTTTCTTCCTGGGTGAGTGAGCAATGCGTGGAGTGAGGGTACTGCTTAGAAAACACAGAAAAACTCACGCTCAGATGGTGAAGAATGGCCCCTGGAAATCCTGGGGCTTCTTGTATGAGTCAGTGGAGTAGCAGGAATATCAAGATCTCTCCTTGTTGCAACAAAGGTTGGGAAAACAACCTGGTCTCTGTTAGAATGACTGAGGCTCTTTATTTGCTGCTGGTGCCTGTGGCCAGGGCCTGGGTGCCCCTGGCTGTGGTGGGAGCCAGGGCTGCCCTCGAGCACCCTGAGCTCTCTTTGCAGGATAATCCTTGAGAAAAACTGAGGTTTTTCCTAGTTTACAAGAGGTCTGGCTAGAGGAGAGGTAGGGTTTACAAGCTCATGTTTGCAGCAAGGATATGAATTACTGGCTCAGGAAATAAATAAATAAAACAGCTGCTCTATGTTCAGAGTTTGGGCTGTGTTTTTATGATCATTTCTCAATGGAAGCTGTTGGCCACTGTCTGCTGAAGGTAGGTTCTGTGTCAGGCTGGGCTGAGCTGAGCTTTTGAATGCTCACAGCAGCCTTTTGGTCTGTGACTGGAGATCTGAAGGTGCTGTGCTTGGAGCACAAGTTGCTGGTGCTGAGAGCACTGTGGTGTGGCTGAGTTTGTGTCTGATTGTGCTCGGGGCAGGTTGGGGACAGGCAGGGACACGCAGCCACCCACAGCCCCTGTCCTGTGCTGCAGGAGCCATTCTTGAAGTGCCCTTAGCTCTGGGCCTGGCAGGTGGTGGAGGCTTTCCTAGGAATCTGTCTCCCTCCTTCCCTTGCTGTGTGTCTCTGCCATGGTGGATTTGGGTGCAGGACAGGGCAGTCCCGCAGGGATTTGGGGCTGGATGAGCCCTGCATGGGGCTGGGGGCTGCTCTGCAGCACCTGCCAGCACAGGGCATTGCACAGAGCTCACCAGGCTGGCAGGGTGGCTGGTGGCAGCAGCAGCAGCACCAAAGCCCATCTCCCCTGCCAGCTCTGGACAATCCCACACCGGCATGGGCGAGCTGCTGGGAAGGGTTGGGAGCTGCCACACCGGCTCCATCCCCCTCACTTGCTCTAAGGGAGGTGGGCAGGTTGTTTTTCTTTCTTTATCACCCAGTGAGCTTTAAACCCTGTGATTTGCATGGCTGCAGGCACCATCTGCTCCCTGTGCTGGCCTACAACAGTTGGCTTGACCTGGGCTTATTCTTGTTCTGTGGCGCCGGCAGCGCACGCTGAACCCACACCGACCTCCAGCTCTGCAGGGCACTCCCCATCCCTGCCTCCACCCCAGAGCTCTCCTTAAACACAGCTGTGGCAAAGACCCCTTGTAGTTCATTTTTTTTAAAATACCATTTTCCTTCTGGTTTATTTTGGTAGTAGGTTTGTTGTTGTTGTTGTTGTTGTTGTTGTTTTCTGGTTTGGTCTTGCTACTTCAAAATAGAGAACGAGAAGGTATTAAGGCTGCAAACCTGAGCTAACAATGTGGTGCCAGGCGTGTGAAAGGCACAGGAGATGAGCAGGTGTTCCCTTTCTAATTTTTTTTTTAAAGAGGCAGAAAAAGAAAAATTGCTTTCTATAGAATTAAAAATAGAGCTCATTAACTTTAATAAACATGGATGTTATGAATGAGGATATAGCTGTAGCTGACTGATGGTTTGCATTTTTGGATGTTCATTTGAATGAGCTGCAGAAAAACCCAACCAAGCCACCAAAAGCAGATAGGCTGGAAATGTTGATAAATGAGGTTGTAGTGAGAAGTCTGATAGATCTGCCTCCCCCACCCAAAGGCTAAAAAGTTTTGGGGGAGTGAGAGTCACCTCCTCGAGATGCCTTTCACACAAGATGGACTCAGCTGGATTCCCAGGCACGTTGCACTGAGAAAATCTGTCTGGCTGCATCCAACCCCGAGCTGGGAGGTGCCAGCCCTGGGCACAGCCTGGAGCCCCTGTGCTCCTTGGGCTGTCAGCTGGGCCAGCCTTGCCGTGTTTTATCTGTGACCTGTGCCTTGGTGGCAGCTTCCTGGCAGCCTTTATTTTGCAGAGGGAGGTTTGGCTGTGCTGTAAACAGGATGTGTCCATGATTGTCTCTTCTTTTGAATGCACCGTGTGTCTGAGCACTGAGCTCAACCCTGATATTTCTGTTTTTTCTTCTCCCCCACCACAGCGAGCAGTGCTGAGTAAAGGAGAGCCAAGGAAAGACGGCTGCATGAAGACTGAGCTGCTGAAAGACATCACCAACAACAAAGAGGAAGGTGAGCACCTGCCCTGGTTGAGGGTCAGAGCTGGCTCGTGTGGTGGCACGTGATGGGGATGAAACTGGGGGCTTGGAGATGTGCTCAGTGCCCCCAGCAGCTCAGGTGTGCTCCCACGAGCACAGGCTCCCTTCTGCTGTGTTTATCCTCAGCAGGGCTCTTCCACTGGACATGCAGATTTGCTTTTCTGGCCATCCCTGACCGCTCCCCTGAAGAAGGAGATCTAATTTTCACTTCTGCATTGGTGTGAAGGCACAGGAGTTACTTTGAACTTCCTGAGTGTGACTGGTTTTAGCTGAACTCTGATCCCTCCTCACAATGACCTTTTCCTCCCTCCAGGAATATTGACTTTCTGTTTTGCTGTGGGTTTCTCTGTTGCTGCAGAGTGGCCCCAATGGCTGGAGGGGTCAGACACCCCACACCTCGTGGCTCCTGTGTGGGTTCTGCAGCTTTTACTGTGCAGGATCCAGCACAGGTTCAATTGACAAAGTCTTCTCCTGCAGGGTTGTCTGTGAGTTACATGCACACAAATCTAAGGGCTTAATAAATGTGTCAGTGGGATTAGGGAAAAAAAGCCCACCACCCTTTATCTTTCCTCCAACTCCCTCCTTTCTTTCCATGGTTTTATTATTCCTGGACTAGTTACTTCTCATAGCTCTTCAGGGATTTGGTGTATTTTTGTTCTCCTTTCCATAATAGAACATTATGAAAGCGCTGAACTGGCCCCATCGAAATCCCTACTCTTATCTAGAAGCAAAATTTTGGACTTAATTCAGTTGTGTGTGAGTACAGCATTGCTTTTTCTTTCTTTTCTGTCCAGCATAATGTTTTGTCAATCTGCTCTAGTTAGAAAGTAAAGCTCAGAACAGGCAGAAATACTGAATTCTGTGTCAGGTGATTGGATATTAACTGGGAGCACATGGATCTTGCTGCCAGCAGTGATGGCATAGGGACCTCTGGTCTGCGCAGAGCAGAGACAAAGCCTGAGGTGTCAGGAGGTGCTAATGGGAGATTGTGTTGCTCTGAGGGAAACTCACTTTGATCCCTTGCCTTTCTTAGCTCAGGATTATAAAGCTTGTTTGTGTAGCTCTTGGTTGATGTTAAGGTGTCAAGAATCTGTGGAGGTAAAAAATCCAAAAGGAGGGTGGGAAGAGACATTTCTGTGCCTCTTGACTAATTTTGACTTGCAGCAAATGCTGTGTCAGAAGGAAGCTGTGCAGGGAAAGTCTCGAGGCTTCACAAGGTGCAGAAATTCCAACCACTCCAATCTGCTGTCCAGCTCTATTCCCAGGGAATGGAGGCTCTTAAATGTGAGTCTGTGTTCTTCTGGAATGTTCAGAACGTGTCCTTGCCTCCCCAGGCACTCCACGAGTGTCCCAGACCGTGGTGTGTATGTGTGTGCTGCTGTGCTGGGACATTGTCCCTGCTGCCCCTGGCTCCCCAGCTGGCATCCTGGGAGGATCATCACCACCAGGACTTTGGTTCACAGCCCAAAAGCCTGTTAATAACAGTGTTTAGTGCTGGCACAGAATTCACATTTTTGAATGTTGCATGAACATGAAGTCATTCCAGCAGGCTTGCAGGATGGCATGGAATAGTTTCTTTGAGCCCAGTTTCCTGCCTCAGGGATGGTGCTGGGATGTGTGGACTGGAAAAGCACCCTGAAGTCTCAGCTTCCTCTCCAAGTTCTCTTGAGCAGTCATTTCCCTTTAGTGAGGAGGATGGTGCTGTTGAATATCTTTGTCAGTGGCACAGACTGGGTTGGTTTGGGCTGCTGAGGATGTGTTTGGTGGGAGCCATGGCCTGCAGTGTGTGACTGAATCTGCTCTGGATCATGTTCCCTTTGGGAAAACCCCTCTGGCAGGTAATCTGTCAATATTAAACCTGGCATCTAAACTTCCAGGGGCTTGTAGCTGCAGATCCAAAGGCTGACTAAAAGTGTTGTTTGGGCTAAAAGCTTCCTGTGAATTTCTCTGTTTCCCCCTCTTTCCACTCCCCCCTGACTCAGAAAGGTGCTGGTGCTGAGGGCAGGTCAGGTCCCCTTTGGAATTGTGTTGGCACATCCCATAGCTCCACTGCTGCCTCTGAATGGCTTTGCACCAGTTCCACCTCTGTACAAACTTGAGCTTTGCCTGAGTCCAAGACTAGGCAGGAAATTCAGGTAGCTTGAAGCCTTGGCTGATATTTAGGGGTCTGACCCCAAGCAAGGCCTGTCAGCTGCAGTGCTGCCTGTGAGCACTGATGAACATCATCCTGGTGGGGATCTCCATGAATATCTCCTGCAGGGAAGGTTCCTGCTCTGGTGGGGCAGTAACTGAGCTGCCCCTGTTCATAATCACAGAATCAGACTGGGCTGGGCTGGAAGAGACCTCAAAGCTCATCTCATTCCACTCCCTGCCATGGGCAGGGACACCTTCCACAGACCAGGGTGCTCCAAGCCCCATCCAGCATGGCCCTCACTGATGTGCTGCTTTGAGGCAGTGGATCTTTCCTGGTGGTCCTCAGCCATCATTTGGGACATCTCAGCAGCTGGGGATGGATTATTGGTGGGTGGGAGGCCCTTGGGTGGGCAGTTGTGGTGTTCTGTTCTCTGTTCCTCAGCAATGAGGTGTTGCAGAAATGCCCTGTGGTTCCCACCTGGGCTGTCCTCTTCTGCCTTCATCCTGATAAAGAGAAATAATTGAGTTCTAAATGTAACATGTATTTGTAGGAGCAAGCTCTTTGCATGTTCTAGCACTTTCATTTCCAGTTCTTGGGGTGAGTCCCAGCCTGTGGAGGTTGTTCACTAGGCTCAGTGTCCCTGTCTGTGTAAAATTGCTCAATACAGATAGAAAAAAAGCTGTGGATGAGGCTGTTTTGTGGTCCATGGGAAATGCTCCAGTTCAGTTTTACATGTGGGTGTGAGCTTAGGTCCATACTTCCCTTTGACAGGGTGGGGAAGGGGGCAGGGAGATGGGAGATGAGTGGAAAAAAGCTTTTATTAGGCCATATTGTCTTTAGTCTGACTCAGAGAGAAACTATTAAAAAGTGGTTTCTTTGCAAGGATTGCAAGTGAATTCAGCTCTCCTCGTGTGCTTCACTCCCAGCTCTGCGTCTCCTTTGACCTTTTGAGGCAAACCACTCCTTTTCTGATTCCCCAAGCCCAGGGGTGGAAAGTTGCGGTAAAGCAGCAGCACAAAGGAGCAGGAATGGGTGTTGTGAATCAAATTCTCCATTTGCTCCAGTGTTTCTGAGCCTTCATCCAAGGCAACTCTTTTACAAGAGCCACAGTGCTGGAGCCTAGTGCTGGGTGAGACCTGCACAGTCACTGCTCTCAGATGAACTTCAGCCTGCTTTGAGAGGCTGTCAGGGGTTTAAACTCCTGGAGGGGCCTTTTTTTCCCCCTTTTTCTCCCTCTTATTGCAGGTAGGAAGCTGCTGTGCCCACAGGAAGTGCTGCTTTCCACTGAGCAGCTGCAGCCTTTGCATTCCCAGGTGCAGGGATGGCAGCTTGAAAGGAGGGAAGGACTAATCTGCTCTCCTCAGGTACTTGGCACTGGGATCCCCTGCTGAGGCTGCCAGCAGGAGGCCAGGCAGAGCAAAGTGATGCTTCAGGATTTTACATGTTCACCCAGCTGTGCACCAAGCACTCCCTGGGCTTGGGACCCTTGCTGCAGGAAGGATCCTGGAGCAGGAGCATCCCTCGGACACAGCTGGGCTGTGACACCACAGCCCCATCCCATGGCAAAGGGATGAAGGAGATTCATGAGGCTCTTAACCTGCTCTGAGTCATTAAACTGTTGAGCCAGATTAACTGTTAATGTTCAAACTGTGCCCTGGGGGCCAGGGGAAGGCTGGACAGCATTTTGGTGTGGCCAGCAGGTCAGGGGAGATGATCCTTCCCTTCTGCTCGACCACATCTGGGGTTTTGGGTTCAGTTCTGGTCTTCACGGTTCAAGAAAGACAAGGAGCTGCTGGAGAGGCTGCAAAGGTGATGAGGGGTCTGGAGCATCTCTCATTTGATAAGAGGCTGCAGGAGCTGGGTGTGGTTAGTCTGGAGCAGAGATGTCTCAGAGGGGATCTGATCAGTGCACATAAATGTCTCCAAGGAGTGTCTGAGGATGGTGCCAGACTCTGTTCAGTGGTGCCAGTGACAGGACAGGGAGCAATGGCCATAAACTAAAACACAAGAAGTTCCACCTCAACATGAGGAAGGGCAAAGAGCTCTGGCTCAGGTGCCTGGGGAAGGTGTGGAGTCTTCCTCTCTGGAGACATCCCAAACCCACCTGGACATGTTCCTGTGTCACCTGTTCCAGGTGACCCTGCCTTGGCAGGGGCTTGGACTGGGTGGTGTCCAGAGGTCCCTTCCAGTCCCTGTGATTCTGAGTCCCCAGCAGCATCCCCAGCCACTGGCCAGGTGCTGAATCCCAGGAACCTGACCTGTGTAACCTCAGTGTTGAGCACTCACAGCAGAAGTTGATGCTTTCTGTTTTTTACTTTTCCTGTTTTACATCTTGGTGTGCAGGGTCACAGTGCTCCAGGGAGGAGTGACATCTGAGTCTGGAAGTGCCTGGACACCAATCCATCTTCACAAGGGCTTGGGGGCAAGAAGAGACCATCAATAAGTCACCCCAGAGAGGAACTTTTGCCTGAAAACACATTTGACTGCATTTCTTGGCTTCAAAATGCTCTGCTTTTTGGCTTCAGTCCCAGAATCCCAGACTGGTTTGGGTTGGAAGGGACCTTAAAGATGATCCAGTTCCAACCCAGTGGCATGGGCAGCGATGCCATCACTGGGGCAGATTGCTCAGGTTGCTTCCAGCCTTCATTGATGGAGGGGGTGCTTTCCTTCCCAATGGATTCAGGCTCTCCAGCTGCTCCCTCTCCCTCATCTGTGTGATTTCAGCCCCAACATCTTCATGCTTGGGCTCTTCTCTGCTTGGCAGTTTTCCTTTTTGTTGGAGTTAGAGGAGGAAGAGGGGAGGGAACTGCTGTAAGATTAAAAGCAGGTGCTTTTCTCAC